TTTGTGGGTAATACTTTCTTCTTGGTTACTTCTTTCAAAACTTGAGCTTGAAAAATGAAGAGATAAAAGGTCTCAGGAAGAATGTGGTCAGAAATCTATGATAGAATCCGAGCACAACAATTAAATTGTATTAGTCTTAATATATTTTTGATATATGATTATTGCAATGTTAGATGAGTTATCATTTAAGTAAATAAAAAATTATCACATAATTGATAAAAGCATATTGATTACCATTTTATAAAAATGCTACATTTGAAATTACTTTTATAAAAAAATTATATATTTTTAAATATCTCTGAAAGAGGTTGAATTTTAACCTTTTTGGATAAAATAAATCAAGACATTAGAGATGGGATTGAAAATTTTAGAAAATTAGAGACGAAATTGATTATAAATAAAATTATATATTTGGCTTAAAAAGTAACTCGAGCAAACTACACTTTTTCATTTCTAAATACATCGTAGGATTAAACCATTATAAGAGTAAACAAAGTTAAAAATGAAAAGTTTAGTCTCTAAAGTTTGAGTTTTATGTCTATTTAAGTTCTTAAACGTTGGATTATGCCACTATCTAGTTTGCTAAATGTAATTTAACCTAACATAAACATGCCAAAATTCTACCTTTTCATTCGTCTCTCCATGGCACGTTAAAACTTATCTAATAATAAATATGTCACATCAATATTTCGTTAAATGATATCAAAAGTAGAAATATAATCTAAAATTGAGAGTATTTAGTGGTTAATATTATTTAAAGTAACGAGACTAAATATATATATATATATATATGTAATTTTTTTTTAAATGAGGAAGATCAAAGTTCCAAGTTGATGGGTAAGGCGTGGGTTTGAGATGGTATATTAGGGCGTAGGGTTCCAAATTTTAGTGATGGCCACCACTTTGAAAATAGAAAGACTATAGTGGCCAAAGGCGTGGGATATTTTTGCCTTTCCACACCAATAAAATAAAAATTTAAAAATAATAATAATAATAATAAGACGATCGCCTCCTTGAAGGAGGCGATCGCCTTGCCTCAAGCGACAGGCGCGCCAAAGCGCCCAAAAGGCGAGCGCCCGATTGAAGGCGCTCGCCTGGGCACCTTGCGAGGCGCACCTGGGCGAAAACGCCTCGCCTCTCGCCTGAGGCGAGCACCCGGGTGCGCCTCGAAAACACTGATCCTAACTACTTCATAATGTTTACTTTAATTTCCCCAGAACACCAAGATATTGTCTCTCAACTCTTGTACGATCGTACTTTTGTTGAAGGTGGTTAAGACTGTTTGCTGGAAACTGTTTCTCAAAAGCAACCAACGAACTTCTGTTAATGAAGGATAGCACAAATTATACCCTTCATTCACATGGTTAAGGCTGTCTAGAATTGAATAAAAACAAATCAGTTAGTGTTATTAAAAGCAACCAACGAACTTCTGNTTCCCCAAAACCCCACTATTTCAATTCTTTAAAATATCTCTATTTGTACTTTGGGAATCTTTGTTTCAACACTTTTTTTTTTATCTTTTCATATACTTCAAATCAAATCTAAGCTTAAATCACACAAATTACATAGATTATGTATGTGTATTAATGTCTGTATATTTGATGAATAAAAATCATATAGATTTATTGCGTTTTGATTTGATCGTGAGTTACATCACCATACATTGTAAAAGACATGATACAATGATAAAAAAGTTTACAGCAACGAAATGAGTTTAAATTTGATTGGTGTACTTTTACAATTTCATTTTAGTTTTCATATTTGGGGTCGATATTTTATCTCATATGCTTTGCACTTTCATAATAAAATTCATTCTTGTGTTTGCCTTTAAATATTTATTATTACATTTAACATAATTCATAACCCACCCATCAATTTATGCAATACACCATTTTCCTTAACAACTCCATGTTATATTCAATATGCTTTTTTGTTCGAGATCAAGTAAATTCTTGTTTCTAGTAAAAATGTTCAATCAATTTATGGTGTGAAATATAAATATTTTAATCACATTTACTATAGTGTTCAGAAAAGATTTCAGAATATTCCAAAGCTTTAATTAAAGTAGCGAAAAGATTACAATTACAACTTTGATCCATATAGAACTAAATAATCAAACATAAAAAAGTGAGACAAATTGAATAAAATTTTGAGACTTTTTAAAAGTTGAAATGGCCTTGTGTTAATAGGGCCATGTGAGTGTGGTTATGTTAACATAATTTAGACTTTTTTTTTTCTTTTTGAGAGTAAGTTTTTGTATGGAGATGTGCAGAAAAGGGCACCACCAGACCACCACTGCCCTCTGTCATGTCGTTTTGCCGCCACCCCCACAGACGATGTTTCCACAAACTCAAATGGGAGAAAAAGAGGGAAAAAAAAATTATTGAATAATGGCTTTGAAAGAGAGCAAATAAATTATGAATCTGAGTATTACGATTTGGACTCATTTTCGCTGTTGGAGCCGATTCTCACCATACACGTGGCACATATTGATTGGGTGATGAGTGTTGCATGTTGCTTTCACTAACAAGCCTCAAGTTTCATCACCTCGGTTTCATGTCTTATAATCGAGTCGACGCCTTGCGTGGCCGAGTCGATCAAGCTTTCTAGAAATATGTCCTCATTTATTGGTTGAACTAACCAGCTTCATTTCGACTGTGCTCTAGTCTCCGACAAACTCCACGACAATACGTCGTGATTCACGGCCACCTTAAAGAGTCGTTGAGGTCTTGTCGGGAAAGTYACCTATAAATAGAACTCATTTGCCTCATTTAATACTAAATTGTCTCTCGAGTTTAGTTCGATCAGCTACTGACTTTAGTATTGAAGTGTGTTCTGTTTTGTAGGTCAACTGTCTAGTCCATCCCCAGCTCGTTCGTCTAAAAACTTTTAAAATGATATAACCAAATTGAAACTAAGCCCAATCCCGAACTATAAGGACTAACTTAAACCAAAAAAAGAAAAAAAAGAAAAGAAAACCTCATCTTATTTGGATGAATTCCCCACGTTAATTTTAATTAGAAGGATTTAGAGGGATGTGCTCAAACTACTTGATGGTCACCTAAAAAACCATTATAACTACCAGATTAATCCACGTACATGCAAGTTGGTCCAGACACTCACGAATTCACAAATTAAAAAAAAAAAATTCCTTACTAAACCCAAAGCACAAGAAATGTTTTGAATTATAACTAACAGATTGAAACTAAACCTAAATTATGGACAATAAATTTATAATTTCACCCCAAAGAAAAGAAAAAGAGAGATGTTCTTGTTTTGATGAATTCCCACGTTAAACTAATATCAAAATTCTCTCATATGCTTACTTTTTCTTTTGCTTTTAAAGGATGGTTCAGTCACTCCCACTTGTAGTTGTCTATCATATATATATAAATTGCAATCTACAAGAATCAAAAGAACTGTTTGCACCAATAAAAACCTTAAATTCCTCACTTTTAAGTGTTAAAAGCTGAGAGGAGAAGTTGTGTTCTTTTCTAACTAAACAGCTCTTGAAACTCTCCAAAGACCAGAAATGCCAGAATTTTAGTAGCAGATTTTACTGAAAAAACTTTGATTCCCAATCCCTCAAGGTCATCTCCTCTTTCTTTTGGTGTTGCTTAAAATATTATGCACATTTCCCCACGGGCAGAGAAATTTTTACATGGGTGGTAAAATTTTACATTTTAACTTTTTATATACATAATCTTTCGATTCTAAAACTTTAACGAGTAAATTAGAAAGAAAACTTTAAAATCTATAATCCCACCTAACAATCGAGTGTTGATAGTGGAGGGATTGGACCGACATGGTTTAGCGTTATATTATTGCTTATGTGTGTTATATTTTCACAGTCGTTGTCAGGTATCGTACCTTTTTTTYAATGAAAAATATACTTAGGAGTTTAGCGTTAAACAACAACCACCATTAAATTTTTTATAAGTTTGAGTTTATAAAAAATCATATCAACATCTCCACTCCGCTTGCAAATGAGAGGAATATTCTTTGGTGTAATGTTGTCGAATCTCTTCATTTGATTGGAGAGAAACGAACTGCATCTTTACCGATTCTTCTAAAAGCATGCATCCTTAGTCTTTGGGAGGATATTAGGATTTCGGCATCAACGTGGTCTTCAAAATCTCCCATTTTTCTGTAAATTACAATCATATGGCTTCCCTATCTCAAAATTGGAGTGCTTTCCTTTGATAGAGGTACGATTTTCTTTTTCCTTGTAGCATCTCCCTTTTGTACGTATGTTCCTCACATACTTTTAATGAAATGATACTTTTTTTCTTTTAGATATGGGAGAGAGAAAATGTAGAAAAATAGATATTTGTTATGTTTGTCAAATTTTTATTGATGGTCAACACGAAGATGGATACCGACCAGTAAACACCATAAGTATCATTTTTTTTATTAGGGTGAAGTTTCTTCTCAACCTTAGGAGTTTTTTCCCATGTTTGTGCTCATGCTAGCTATAGCTATTATATTTCTTCAAATGATCCTATTAGTTGATTCTTTTCTTTCCAAAAAATGGATAATTTTCCACTTCATTTGGGTAAGAAACATCAAGCAATCTATAGTAACACACTCATTGCAAGCACTACAATGCATCATTAAGTTTCTTCATCTTTTCTTCAAATTCATCTTAAAAGTTGTTAAACAACATGTTACAATAATCATCTTATTATTGACAATGATTTTGGCTTTTTTGAACCCCTAATGACCTCATAATATCCAAGCCCATAGTGTTTTATACCTCACAAAGTAAAGAACTAATATTAATTTAAAAAGCTTTAGGGTTTTTTCTTTTACTTTCTGCCCTATCTTTAAAATATTCACAAATTTTGTCAGATTTTTGAAACTAGATTTGGGACCAAACTGAGCCATTGTTATGGGAAGAACATGGGAAGCTTATCTCCAATCCCAGTGGGATGATTTTCTAGTTATATCATTCAGCTTTTGATCTCTTTCTTTTTATCCCTTTTTCTCAAACACTCAATTGCAGTCTCCATTTTCTCTATTAAAGGTCAATGCCTTAATGAATTTGGTCTGTTCCACTGCTATAATAATCAATCCAAAAAGTAACGTTTTTGCACATCAAAGGCTTTGATTCACCTTCCCACTTTCACTTAAAGTTTTCCTTTTCCTCTCATTATATAACAAAAGATTCAGCCTTTCTTGTTTTGTGTTCATTCCATGACAAAATAGGCTATTGGGTTTCAGGAGGAATCCAAACCCCAAGTTTGAGAAAAGTTTGTGGAGAGTTTTATTGATCTTCTTAAATAACCTCTTCACCACCTCTCTTTTTCCTTATATTTGAGTTTTTGATCTGATTTTGGAGCTCAAAAAATGGCTAGTTTTGTGTTGTCACTTGCATTTTGGTGTTCTTTTATTTGTTGCCTTGTTTCTTCTCAAGGTAGATGGCATCATCCCCCCAAGCAAAAGCACTCTCACCACCACAAACATAGCTACATTTCACAGCCACCATCTCCTCCTCCTCCTCCTCCTCCTGATTCACCGGACGAGGGAGATTACGTTAGCGAGATGGATGTTTTCGACGTGAGAGCTTTCGGTGCTATCGGTGACGGCACTGCAGATGACACGGCTGCATTTAAGATGGCATGGGACACGGCCTGCCAAAGCGACGACCCTGCAGTAATTCTCGTTCCCTATAGTTTCTCCTTTATGATTCAATCAACGATCTTCACAGGCCCTTGTCAGGGTCACCTTATGTTACGAGTCGATGGCACATTGATGCCACCAGATGGGCCCGATGCCTGGCCAAAAAATACGAGTCATCGACAATGGTTGGTATTTTATAGAATTGATGGAATGTCCCTTGAAGGAGGAGGTGTGATTGATGGGAGAGGTCAAAAGTGGTGGGATCTTCCTTGCAAGCCACACAAGGTACTCGAAGGTCTTTTTACCATGCGTAGGTAAATGTTTAGAGAATATAAATGAACAATAATTCATGGATATATTATTCTAACTCTCTTAATTTTCATCACGTTAGGGAATAAATGGAACTACGCTACCAGGACCATGTGATAGCCCAATTGTAAGTTCAAGAACCTTACAAAAGTGTTTGCTGATATATAATACTTTTCTGTAAGAAATATGAAGATAAACTTAGACATTGTCACATTGTTATGGTTTAGGCTATAAGGTTCTTCATGAGCTCCAATTTGACTGTGCAAGGACTTAAAATCACAAACAGCCCTCAGTTCCACTTCAGATTCGACGGTTGCAAGAACGTTCATATCGACTCGATTCACATAAAATCTCCCGGTCTTAGTCCGAATACTGATGGTATCCACATCGAGAACACAAATGGCGTCGAGATATATAATTCAGTCATTTACAATGGTCAGTATTGAAACCACAAAAATCTTTTACATTGTTAAGGGAATTATATATATATTCTGATTCATCTCTTTTATGCAGGGGATGATTGTGTATCAATTGGGTCAGGTTCATATGATGTAGATATCAGAAACATCACATGTGGACCAAGTCATGGAATCAGGTATTATACGTTTTATTAGTAGTTCTAAAATATAATTACGACCATAATCTGAATATAATTTAACTAGTTAAGATACATATATACTAAGTTTCATGTTAATTAATATTGCTTATAAACCTTTTATCCTTCTTTTGGTGTAGCATTGGAAGTCTTGGCGTTCGCAACTCGAGAGCCTGTGTTACGAACATAACGGTTAGAGACTCCGTGATCAAAGTATCAGACAACGGAGTTCGGATCAAGACATGGCAAGGTGGCTATGGGGCAGTAAGAGGAATAACATTTAGCAACGTTCACATGGACAATGTTAGGAACCCCATCATTATAGACCAATTTTATTGTCTATCAAAAGATTGCACCAACCAAACCTCAGCTGTTTCAGTATCAGACATTCAGTACTCAAACATCAAAGGAACATACGACATTCGAAGCCCGCCGATGCACCTTGCCTGCAGCGACTCCGTCCCGTGTACCAATCTAACGCTGTCGGAGATCGAGTTGCTTCCTGCTCAGGGAGATATAGTGTTGGACCCTTATTGTTGGAATGCCTATGGAGATCTTCAGACGCTTACTATTCCACCCATCTCTTGCTTGCAAGAGGGGCTTCCTTCTTCTATCAACTTAAACAATGACAATGAGTATTGTTGATCTTTTATTTTACCTATATACACACTTATAACAACATAGGTGATTATCATATATGTATATAAAATAATCATGGATATGTACTTGATAACGATGCTTGATCGTATTATTATGTGATGAATGATGACACAATATCACCTTAGATCGATCTCTCAAGACAAATGAAGCAACTCCTATCAAACTATTCGCAATACAAGGATCCAAAATGGCATGATATTTGTCTAATACTTTGAACTAAAAGACGACTAGCATGGGCCAAAATAAATTAATGAGATATTATTCTTACGAGAATACATAAAGTCTACCTTATTCGCATCCCAACAACATTGACGAGTATAACAATCAATGGGCGTGACCGATGTTTCTTTATTGATCATTTCCCATAATTATTATGCTAAAGTTTTCATGTTTAAAGATGTCAAAAAAGAGAAAGAGGCAATATGATTTCATGTTTCAAACTTGAAAGATGTGTGTGTTTGGCTTTTGGATCTCCTCCTTTTGTGGCTCAACAAAGTGATTGATTGTGCATTGCAATGTATGCACAAAAATAATGCATTCACCCATCAATCATACCTTATAACAAAGTTTTTACAAATTGGTGTGCAAAATATATATAACTATGTTGTGTACTCATAGTTTAACGTTTTGATTTTGTTGATGTGGTCAATATAGCTAGCTATTATTTTCCTTGCTAGCTACTCCATTTAAAAAGTTTCAAAAAGAAAAAGTTTACTTGCAAAATTTTTTATTTAGTATTATTTTAATCCCTAAAGGTTTAACAAATACTCGCTATTAAAAACTTTAACGAAAAAGTTGACTGATTCATTTTTTGTTTAACTATACAAAATACCCTTCAACTTTAGAGTAAATTTTTATCGTGCAACTTTTATTTTTTCACATTTTAATTATGTACCATGATGGTAGTACATTCTAATATAGTGGGATTCCATTTTTTTTTGTATGAGATGCTCGTTTGAGCTTTCGAGCTCTATAAGGTAGGTGGTCATTATGGGGTTTGAACTCATTTCCTCTTTAGCCCCTTTAGACCAATGAGCCACCCATGATAGTTAATGAACTATTTAACCGCAAGCCCAACATGAGTATAGCTTAACGATTAAGACCTTTTGCGCGTCTTTTACAACTACACTAAAGTGGAGGGCTACTATAGAAGCTAGAAGTAGCCTCTCGTAAAGTAAGTAGTCGGCCTCGTTGCAGGAACAAAACAATAGAGAAAGACTCGACCGATCTGGCTTTATTTAATTAATTAAGAGAGAATGAGGAGTGAATTGGATCCGTTTTCGTTCTTTGTTTTGTTTCAGACTCCTCTCAATCTTATTCATAGTGAGGAAGGAGGAAGAAGTCTAAACCAATGGATAGTAACGATGATAGACGTTAAGAAATAAGAAGTTGAATCTCCCATCACCAAGAAAGAATTATATTTTAACCTAACAAAATAAATTTTAAGAATAGAAACTACATTTTATTGTGCAAGTGGAGGGTCAACTTTTTTTTTTATTTTTTATTTTGTTTTGTTTTGTGTTAGCATATAGCACGCGCGGACCATAAGACAGGTTGATAAAATAAAGTTGGACACGTCGGTGCACGAGAAGAGAACTAACCCATCAAATTCCCCACTCACCAAAAGTTTAAATAAAAAATAAATAGATAAAAAGTATTAAAACAAAAAGTATTTGATTGGTAAAAAATCTGAAAATAGAAACCGTGCTCCATGAGATGTGTTTAGTACGAGGTATGTTTAGTTTTATATTTATAGAACTTACCAATTAAATATTTAGTTTATTTAAAAGAATTATTAATTAATTTGTTTGTTATAGATTTTGTATAATTATTTTAAAATATTATAAAATTTATAATATGTTATGTTTTTTCCGTTCTAATTTTAACAAAATTAAACGAATTTGTAACGGGAAATAATATAGTTTTTATATATTTTTTAAGTGAATTCTGCCTTTCAAATTTAAAATAACACCGAAAACGTAAAAATGTTGTTTTCATAATTTCTAATATTTGGTTCATAAAATTAAAAACAAATTTGCCAAACAATTATTTATTAAATTCTATTTGATTCACTGGACTTGAAAACAAGAAGCTGAATTTGCAGGTTAAAACAAGCCCTTAAATACCCTTTTTTAAATTAAGCTCTTGTTATTTTAAAATTTTAATTTAGTCAAATAAAAGGCATAATTTAATTTCTTATATTTTAACATATTTTTAATTATTTTATTTTTGTTGGTAATGTTAAAATTCGTTGACAGTAATTCACTTACATAATATGATAATTAGTGAGTCGATTGAGATTTTGAAAAGTCCTTTGTAAGTAAAAGGATCTCAGGTACAAAATTGAAAGTCAAATTATTTATTGGATGCAATATTAAAAATCTAAGACCCTTGATTACATTTTAAAAGTAGGATGATTTATTAACTAAAGGTCAAGAAACCAAAGCTCACGTTTTAAACTATTTATCTTGTTTGAAATTTTTTTTTTTAAATTAATGTAATTATCTGAATGTTTGTTGAAACGAAAAAAAAAAAAAAAAAAAAACCATGACAAAGTGAACATAGTTCAACAATAATTGACATATATCTCTAATCTAATTAAAAGGTTGTGAATTCGAAATTCGATCTTCCACTCCCATATATTGTACTAAAAAAATAGTTTACTAATATACCTTTCAATACCGATTTATTGATAGGTTATATGTTATTCTACTAAATCCAATCATTTTAGTGTATAATTGTTGTTAAGTATTAAAAAAAGAAAAAATAAATTGAAACCCAAAAACATGATTTTTTGTTTTTTTTGTTTTATACACTTGTAACAGGAAGTTTTGAGTCGGTAAGATTTGTGTTTAAGTCCTGCCGTAGGGACGTTTGTTTTTGTTTGATAGGAACGTTGGATATCCGAATATTGTCCGAGCATCTTAGGATGTGTGTACGAGAGACATCTCAACACTTTTAGATGTCATGATATAACATGGGTTTATAAGATTCCCATGTGGAAGACATCTTCTTTTGACAATTTTATCCTTCGTCATTTTTGTTCTATAATATTTTTTTCTCATTTATTTCATTTTATTTTTAAAAAAATGTAGCCACTAATTCATTATAAATCTCTAACTACAATTTTATTTATAAGCTACATGTAGATATAAAATAAACATTAGTCAATAGTATAAGACCTAATTTATTTTTAATTCAAATCTAGTGTGCAATATTTCATTTATTTTACTCTTTCAATAGTCACAAAAAATAAACTAAAATTGACGTAAAAATATAATATTAAATTAATAAAAGTAAAAATTTTATATGAATTCAAATAATAGTAAATTTAGTATATAAATTATTTTATGACCGATAAGGGCATTTTTGGAACATTAGATAAATTTACAATATTCTAACGAATAAATTCTAGAAAACAAAAGTGACTATCTTAAATTCCAAACATCTAAAATTTCGGACATCTAAGATTTCAGGCATCTAAAGATTATGTCAGATATCTATATTCCCAAAAAACAAATGGCCCCTTATAAAAATTTCGGATAACAAGATTTATAACTTATAATAAGAATAAACTCAAATACTGAATATAAGTTCGACTTCTTAATTTCGAGTTATACAAATTTAGTTCATGAGCTAAAAATATTAACTACCAATCAATAATTTCAAATTATTAAAAAAAATTTAAATGGGATTAATTTTTGACTTAAATCAAATCCTAACTTGTAGTTTCAATCATGCTTTTAACTTATAAATTTCCTATTTCAGAAAAAACAAAAACAAAAATGAAAAACGAAAAAAATGAAAAACGAGAAAAAACAAAAAACAAAAAAAATTATGAATTTTTACGAGTTAATGTCTTCGGATGACTATTTTAGAAATTTATTTTCACAGATGTTTAAAGTTTTCTAATTTTACACTTTTAGATTTTTGCATATAGAATTTTTTTATAATATTGATTTTAACCTTATTTATTGCATTTACATTTATTATAGTTATTTTTAAAAAGAATCTAAAAGATTTAAATCCCTAAATTGTAATCATATTCCTTTAATAAATTGTGGGCCCCATCCAAATTTTCAACACTAATCCCTTAATTCACTTTTTCAAAAAGATTTATTCCCATAATTTACAAATGTTATTAATTACAAAAATATCTCAATTCGTCTCTCTCTTTGTGTAATTTCCCACTAGTTTTCAATCGGAAGCCACCACCGTTCGGATACACCTATACAAGAGTTCTCACACCTACTTAAACATTATAAAATATATCCGACTAAACTTTTTGAGTTATAAAATATATCCGGATATAATCTAAATCCCATATAAACTTGGATATGTTACAACTATCTTCAAATTACTTACAACTATCTCATTTAGTTAATACTCTAATTCAAACTAGTTAATACTTACAACTAAATGATTCTAACTAGTTTTTATATTTTATCCAATATATCCAACTCGACTCAGTATAAGGAATCAAACTCACTATAAGATATCCTCATATATACAATAGTTCACACCTAAATTTTGCATCACTGAAATTATAACAGTACAAAAACAACCATTGATTATGCGTATGGAAGGGGTTTCGAAGGGTTTAACAGTACACAAAAAAACAGGATTTTCAACATTGTTCAAATCTGAAATCGAAAACTAGAAGGATATATTGGAATGCAAAATATATCGAAGTTTATATGGTGAGACAAAACAAACCTTCCGGTCGGCGACTAGACAATGGTCGGAATAAACGGAGACGAAGGAGAAGCTAGACGGACTATTCCGACGATGGAGAAGAACGGAGACGAAAACCGGAGAAGAAGGAACGTAGACGACGGCCTGAGACAAAGTAGCGGACGAAAACGGAACGAGAGAGGAATAAGAAAAGTCGAAGGAAGAAGGTTTTCAAATTTTTTCAATAATCGAGGATTTTGGGGATTTGGTTAGTATTTTGGAGATTTGGTATTTTTTACTTTTGGAAAGTATAATTAGGTAAGAGATTTAAATTGTAATCTCCCAATAACGAATTTTGGATTTTAAAAATTAATTAATATTGAGGTGTAGATACAAAAAGTAATTTTAGTGATGGGTATCATCTTAAATAGGGTTCTTTC